GTGTGCCTTGGCAGTCGGAACTATATCGGAACTAAAGTGGGAAAAGTACTGCGGTGTGAACGCGGCTAAGCTGAATTTCTCCAAGAGGAGGAAAATAATAAGTTTTATTTTGTCTATGAAACCATGTGACTCACCTTGAGAAGCCTCGATCACCCCCTTTACTGAAAGAGAGAGAGAAACAAAGATATTTCATCAGAACAACATACAGACTTTTCTGGATAAAAGGTGTTAGAGTGCGAGGACATGTTGAGGTACCTTAAATCGTCAGCACCCAGGTTATCGAAGAAGGACTTGGTCTTGTCGTAGTAAGTGTTGGACGTAGCCTCGTCATCTTCGTTGGTGGTGGTGGTGGTGCTGGCGGCGGTGGTGGTGGTGGTGGTGCCCTCGCTGGCCGGATGTTCTGCTGACTCTGCAGCTTCCTCTCCATTCAGAGACTTCTCAATCTTGTCATCTGTTGGAGAAGAGTTAGTTAGAAACGGCTTGAAAGACGACTAAAGAAACTGATTATTGGAGATGTATTGCTATAAGCACTTACATAAAACATCTCAAACCTTAAAGTATATCAAGGTTTTACATCTAATCATGTATTTGTACTGTAGATTTACTTCTGGTTGCTAAGAGGTTATCATCTTAGGTTAAGCACATATTCATAAATGCCATATTTCTTGTGTTATTCCCTCAAACATTTGGAGTGATGCATGTTGTCCCGATCAGTGAATCTGTGTTTTAGACCAAAAGAGTTAAGTGTTATTCAGAGTCCTGCATAACGGGTGACCCGCAAAAAAAGTGATTTGCAGGTGGTACGCTTTTTTCCGGGTTCGGTTCTGGGTAAAACAAAGATGATGCGGGTCGGGTCGCGGGTGTTGCATATAAAATATATTAAAATAATAATAATTTAGTTTAATGTTTAAATCCTCAGATCTCTCCCCCGCGGGACCGAGCATAATCATAACCTCTGCAGCGCATCTATCTGCTGCTGAGCGCGCCACATTCAAAATGGCTGAGGTGAAGCTCTCTAGCGGAGAATACAGCATTTTCAATAACTCTTCGTCAAGAGCGAAATCCAACGTCTGGGAGGCTTTTGGTGTCATCCTAGATGCAGAAAATAACCAACATCCCATGCTTTTTGAGACAAATATGCAATGCGTGTGTTAATAATTGCACGTTTTCACTGCTCATATATAAGCGAGTTTGGGTCGGGTCGCGGAACTAATTGGCAATATGTGCGGGTTCGGTATTGGACGTCGCGGGTGCGGGGCGGGTCTTGAAAAACAGACCCGTGGAATGGTTGAAAATGGTTTATTTTAACATGGAACAGGAAAATAAGGTCTGCATATGAAACATGTTGTGCCTATCTAAAACAAATCCAATAGTTGGCTTACTAGCTTCTACACGCTAAAGCAACTAAAATCTCTCACCAGCAAAATACATCGACAGTTAAATGCCAATTTACGTTTCATTACTATACCATACAGTATGTATTATCATTATAGTATTGCTATTTCGCCGATTAGATAAAATATAAATTATATTTGATGCAACTTTAGTTCCCATGAATTTTCCAAAACTTTGGGAAAGATATTGTTTTCCATAACTTTCTCAGGACCTGGAATTTGCATTTTTGAATTTCCATGACTTTTCCAGGTTTTCAATGACCGTAAGAACCCTGTAGTCAGCTTGCTGTCTTTACCCCTGACAGTACTCAGGCGTGTTGCAGCCGTACCTTTCAGTTTGAGTTTGTTCTGCAGCTCTTTGTCGATCTCATCCTTGTTGAACTGAGCGTTGGCGGTCTCAAAGTCGAAGTCTTCTTCAAACTTCATGGCACCGTCCCGACGTACGTTCATTCGGCCTCTGCTGCGGTTCCCTCTGCCGCGCCCACGGCGGTTAGACTGCAGACCAGCTGAGGAACCACAAATACATCCAATAAACCCAACTGTGCAGTCACAGACATCGGGACATGGTTAAGCTTCATCTAACAGAACAGGGTTTATTACAAATAGGCAGTGTAGGAATTGCTGTCATTTCAATACATTATCCCCAAATGGTCATTCAAAAAATTAATTAATTAAAAAACAACAACTAGTAAGGTCATCAAAATGTCCCTCTTCTGCCGTCAGTGACTGGCTGAAGTCTAGACATATGCAGGACAGGTTTCTTCCCCTTTAAGCTGATTGCCAGCCCTTTAATCTCATTAATCCATCCAATGTGTTGGAAGACAGAAGCAGAAATACATTAAAAAACATGTTTTAAATGCTCTGCAGACATGAGGTGATGGAATGGAAATATAATACTAATAAAATAGATAACTCAACATTAAAAATGTAAAGAATCACCATTTTCAGAGGGAATCAATGTTGCATTAAATTCATTCAAGCTGTAGCTCTACTCACCATTGTAGCGCTTGTTTGGGTCTCGGTTCTCCATCGCACCGTGTTCATGCTCAGGCTGAGACACCGTCTGAACCTCAGGAGCTGAGCAGCAAAAGAAAACGTGATGAGGAAATGATTTACCGAGGTATACATTAACACGACACCAAACACTGCATAATGGTGATGGGAATTACGGCTCTTTGAAGGGAGCCGGATCTTATGGCTCCGCTCCTTTCTGAGAGCCGCTCACAAGAGGGGGCGGGGTTAATAGGTTTATCTGCTATCACCAGGATAATGATTGACTGTAATGCCAGAAACCTACTTTTACTCACAGAAAATGTATAACTTGCATCTCTCGGCCAGCCAAACTACTACTCAAGCAGCACGCGTTATGCCATCATCTACGGCAACTTTGCATTCAGGAAAACAAGTTCCCGTGAAGGCAACGATAAAAAGAACGGCTCTTTGGTACGACTCGGTTCCCTTCGTTCGTACCAAAGAGCCGTTCAAAAGGATCGGATCGTTCGCAAACATAACATCGCATAAACTGAGCAGACTTCAATCTTTGATGAAATGAAGCAGAGACGTCGAGCAGGTGTCCTTACCGCGTCTCTGCTCCAGGAGGTCGGGGGGCTTCTGGATGCCTGCGCTGCTGCTGGTGGGTCGGGGGGCCGCAATGGGCTGAGGCCTCTGACCCACAGGAGCAGGGGGGGCGGGGGCAGAAGAGGGGGGGGCCTGCACTGCCTGCTCCAGGATGGGACGTTTTTTCAACGAGTCCATTTCGGGGCTGGCGCGTCCTGTGGGAAACAAATTAAGTACAAACGTTTAGATTTGGGAATTTAGATTTTTCTCAAACATTCCAGACAAATATTACCTAAAAAATAAATAACTTCTGTCGGCCTGTCACTTAAATTAGGCAATCGCCCCCGAAAAAATGGGTCATGTTATCACGTGGGAACCATTTTCACAGTTTCTGGTGCATCCTGTGAATCCAGGAAGATAAGGCAGTTATTTTGAATAAGATCGACTCCTTACCTCCAGCAGATCCATACGGCTGAGATGCCAGGGGGGTGACTCCAAACTGGCTGTAGGAGGCAGGAGGGGCCTTGCTGAGCGGAGCGTAGGGCCCCGGGGCCTGGAAGGAGGGCGGCGGGGCAACATTGGCGGATCCAAGCGACGACTAGAAAAAAAAACAAACACATTGAATGAAAAAAAAAAAAAGAAAACAAAAAGCTTGTTGGAGACAGTGGCGTGCAAATACGTTTATTGAAACCATTAGAAATACTAAGTACAAAGGTAGGGGATTTTGTAAAACACATTTTGACTATGAGGTTGTGTTTTATTTTACCCATAATACACTGCTACTCAGGTTTCAGCAAAAAGCCAACTAAGAACAGGGAAGGGTTTAAATCCTCAGTGTCAATAAAATGTTTGCATCAACATAATATCAGTTTAGTTTTGGAACTCTGTTGTAGGTGCAAATATTCATGCGCAAAGTCACTCTACACCTTAAAGTGAAACTTATGAGCTACAATGTGACTGGTTCTGTTGTTAACTTATTACGATTATATTGTTTTGTCCTGGCATTAGAAGCACAGGCGTGATCAATAACATTAGTCAGTGCAGGCAGCATTATAATCAGGTGAGCCAGTTCAGAACCCTGGTGCACTGAGACTGTAATGACTAATGACAGGAGCAGAGGCATCATTAAATGTTATCAGATACACCTGTGCCTTTCCCACTGTGACAAGTCTGGGTGCGTTACAGGGGGAAAAATAAAACGTTTTGGGCCAGAGTAGGGCTTGTTTTGCTGCATAATGCTTTTCACAGCCATGTTTCTGAAAAAGAAAAAAACGTACCAAACTAATTTTAAGTTGTCATAGTGAGTAGAGCGTTGCTACTAAAAACAGTAGCAATGGATGTCCAGTAAGTAGTGACCGTAAGCCATTGTGCACAACGCATGAAACGCAAATTAAATGACCTTAACATTTCCGAAAGCTCCCTATGACTTTTTAATCAAATATACAGAATATGTTTAATGTACAGGGATGCAGATGAACTTACTTGAACTATAGCAGGGTCCTGAGGCAGGGAGCTAGTGGCTTTGGGCGGCTCACAGACTGTCAGGTCCTTTATGTCACTCCCTCTGAAGATGATGTACTCAAACACTTCATCTCGAGGAGGAATAGGCCTGTCAGTGGGCCGGTCCTCAGTGCCAAAAGAGCGCACTGTTGGGAAAACACACGGGACGATTGACATCAGAGAACAAGTAGACCCTAACAGGTGACCACAAAACTGCTTACTATAAGGCCAACTTTGTGTTTTTCATGCATTCTCGACAACAAATGTTTTCAGTCACACCAATATGAAAAGGTCCTGTTTTATATCCAATTAAAGTAAATATCCTTGAGTTTTTGACTGATAAATGTATCATTTTAGAACATTCAGATATGTATTACAAAAGTTGCAGCCCTCATTCAAATGACTCAATTTTAATATTTCTTAAATTCGGCTTTTATTTTAGATTTAAATTGTTCAAAATAAATGATAGTCATTTCATCTCTTCAAGGAAAAAATTTCTGGAAGTTAAATTAGCCTATAGCCTGAGTTCTCCTATAACTTTATTTTCCATATTATTTTTTCGTGATGGAATATGCATCCACTAATACAAAGTAGTTATAGTCGCACCTAAGTGGCTTTTGAGGAAGCAGCTACTACTTTACCAGCTTAAGAAATTACGTGTAATTTGTTTAATGTCTATGTTTTACGTCTGAGTTCACTTCACAAACGTTCAGAATAAATACTTAAATATAGCGTAGCTTATAACCCGTGATTAGACTCAAAACACCATATGCTTTACAGTTAAAAATGTAGTTTAAATTAAACGGTATACCATTTGGTCGTCAGTAATAACGACAACATATTTACCGTTAGCCCAAAACACAAGGTAAACAAAGGACGCTGAGTGCTAAGTAAGCTAACAGTTAGCTACAATGCTAAGCTAAGTGATGCTAACCACTTAGCTAGATAGCTAAACTAGCATAGCTAACTGCGCTGGATTCAATACCCATTTTACATAATTGACCCGGTTCATAAGTTATTTGCAACCCATTTAAGTACTCTAGTCCACCTCTTGGGTTACCTAACTTACCTTTAGCAAGAGCTACGGTCGAGTTCTCCGTATCAATGGTGTACAAAATTCCTTCATAGCGGATCCCGGCCTTGGAGATTAAGCTAATTTTGCTCCCAATGTACGGCGTTCCTCCTCCGCTCATGATGGAATATCTGGTTTTTCACGATATTTGACTGGATTTTTTTCTGTCAAACGAGAGGTTTAGATGTTGTAATTATCAGAGCTGTGGTTCTAAGTCTACATTACATGAGAAAAAGGTGAATTAAGCCGTGATTAAGCCTCGCTGGATGCAGGACAGATCTCTACCACGACATGGCCGATTTCATTTTCCTTCAACCGCCGCTGAGGATGCTGGGTAAAAAAATAGGCTGCGTCATATTCCTCTAAAGTCACTTCCTCTTCCTTCCAGTGTTATTTTTTTTTAAAGAACATATATTAACATTATATATTCCTTTTATGAATATGATTTTTCGTCCATTTTGTAAGAACACATTGACCCAATGTACAAAAAAATCACATCATGGAGATAATAATGACATAAATAATTCATAAGAAAATACAGTTTCATATTAAATATTTGTTCAATACACAGTCTGTTTTTATTGCATTTGTATTCATATTTTTTTTAATTGTGCTACTATATTGTTTTAATTCTTGGTACAAATGTTTAAATTCTGTTTGGAGTCAACCCATCTCTTCTTATGAATATGAAAAGCCCCCATGGAGGTGTAAAGGAATTGGGAATTAATCATTCCCCAGTATTTATTGATTTCTTAATGACATTACATTATATAAACAATTAATTAAATTGTACAAAAGTAAAAAAGCCCAACAATTTTACAAATGTCTAATCACATTCATTCCTGAGTGACCACTTGTGTTTTGTTTTTGTTCGTTTTTTCTCTTCTGGCTTCTATTCATAATGCCCTCAGTTGTTGAGTTAATGTAATGAACACTGACGTGTTTGCGCCTTTTTCTGATGTATTGGAATAATGGTTCAATAAAGTTGAAAAAAACACTCCTGAATGGTTAAATAGAAAAACCACATCATTTCCTACTATTGATTATAATTTGTAGATCAAATAATGTTTGGTGTCTTATTACAAGACTCCCATTTGGACAGAATGCTTTAGTGGTTGATAAAATACAATATAAAATAACAAATAAAAAAATACAATTACAATATCCAGGCTTAGTATACTAGCTGGGACATGTTTAGAGATATCATAGTTTATTTATTTATCTTGTAGGCACAGTTTGCCCCTCGATGTCTGTTTTTAGGGGCATTTCTTCGTGCATTTTTGCCCGTTTTACCCCCATTTTTAACCAACATGTATTAATTCCTAACACAGCTACCAATTAACAATGTTTTATATGAAATACCGTTCATGGAAATTACAACCAGGATGCCCCCCCTGTTATGGTGACGTCAGATTCATTCCCACAATGCATAGTAACACGCATGCGTACTGTAGTAAAAAGACAGCTATCTGTGATCAGAGATGGCGGGCGCCTCCGACCCCCTGGAAGATATGCTGTTTTCAGAGGTGGATGAGAAAGCTGTGAGCGACCTGGTGGGCTCTTTGGAGTCCCAGCTGTCCGGACAAAGCAACCCCGGAGGGAAAGCAGAGGAAAACGGAGGCTCCGTGGCCCCCGCTAACCATCACTTAGGGAAAACGCTACCAGCTCAGGCACAACAACAACAAGGACGGCGGTATAATAAACCCGAGATGCACCAGGACGCAAACTGCAAAGATACAACTGTAACATCTTCCCCTGCAGGATGCACGGCTTCCTTCACCGATCTTACCGCCACTTCTGCAGCCTGTGGCGGGTCGCAGTCACACGGAGCATCCATCACAACACTGACCGCTTCTGGTGTGTCAACTTTGGCATCGACGCCGGGCAGCATCAGCACCGCCTCCAGTAAGGTGAGCCCAGGGAAACGCGTGAACACACCGAGGAGAAACGCTTCTGCTCGGATCAAGAGTTTGAACGGCGCCGCTGTAGGGACCAGGAGGAACAGCAACACCGGGGGAAACCTGAGCCCTCCTGTGGATGCAACTACTCCAAACTCTGCTCCTCTGGCGGTGACATCCTCTATTAATGCTTCTACTTTCACCCTGTCTCATGCAAACATCCCTGCAGGACAGTCTGCTATTGCTCTGGACCGGGGGACTCCCACCATCGCTCTGCAGAGACTCCCGAGTCACATTGTGGCGAGCATAGCCCAAAATGGGACCAGTGTTTCGGCCTTGGTGCAGCAGGGTGCCCCAGCAGAAGCAGCTCCACAGGGGAACCACAGCAAAACACTCACAGACACTTCCAAAGCAGACGATTGTCAGTCCAAAATTGTAATGTCAGGTCAACCTGTTGGTGGTGTTGTTAACTCTGTAATAAACTCCTCTGTTGTCACACCACCACCACCACCAACAACTACAATTACTATAACTACAGCAGCAGCTACAACCACCGCAGCAACAACCACAACAGTATCCCAGCCTCAGATCTCTGCTACATCCACAGCAGGGTCTGCATGTGTGAGTGCTCAGACTCCACCAGTGACCTCCACTGTGAGCATGATCAGACCCACAACGCCCTCCCCAACCCAGTCTACACCCCCCCGTCCTGGACTCGCAGCCCCTCAGAGGATCGTGGCCCCCCAGCTGATTGTGAGACCCCCTCAGCAGCAGACCACCATCCAGCTGCCCCCCGGGTTCACCATCCCTCAGGGTAAGGTTTGCAGCAAGGGGCTGTTTACACCTGTATTAAAGGTCACCTATTATGCAAAATACACTTCTTCATTTCTCTTCTACATCAACATGTGTCCCCTCTGTGTGAAGAGAATCTGAAAGTTTCAGGAAGAAAGATTCTCTCTTTTTGTCCTGATCCATTTCTATAAAAATCTGTCTGAAAATGAGCTGATCAGATTTGGGCCACTTTATGATGTCATAAAGATGTTTTGGCTTGTGTAACCATTAGCCAATCAGCAACCAAGGTAACCCCCCCCCCACACACCTTATCACCTGAATCTCCTCCTAGAGCACCATTGAGTTCTTTGTAACCAAATATCTCTCAGAGGGGCGTGGGGAGGGGCTCCTTATTTTCATCTAAAGTAACAGACAGAGAATCAGCACTTTGGAAACAGGGCTGAAACAGAGGGGACTATGGGATGCTGCAGTAATCTGTTCGGTGTTTGGAGCCAAACACTTATATAGTGTATATATATCTGAGACCTATAATATATTGATGAAAAACTGTATGATAGGCGACCTTTTTATATAAAAAAAAAAAAAAAAAAACTCCAGCTGGGGATTTATCCATGTTACAGCAAAGTTGACAGTTCAGATTAAAGAGTCTAACATATTGAATAATAAGAACCAAAGCACATATTAATAAAATAACATAATGCACACTGGTGAACCAATCATCACACATCTATGGTAAGAAGTAAGTATCAGTATCATAAAAAGGAAGAAAACATGACATTTTGAAATAGCAGTAAGTGAGCACATGAGTAAATAGGGATAACTGTGTATATCGCGCGTTAAGTGTTCTCACTCAACAGATGTGTTCCCCACTTCACCAGCAGTTAGTGCCATCATGATGTGACAACCGAGCCGTGCAACATATTGTATTTACACCAAACAGTGACATAACACAACAATAATATCACAAATCTGAAATGAAAAACAAGAAATAAGGCAATGTAATAATAAACACAACTTGTAATGTCAGTACACTAACTTTAAAAAGAAGGCTTTAACTTCTGGGGGCCAAAAACATATTGCCAGTATAGTTTGTGTGGTTGCTCGCAGCTGTTATCTCACCTCAGGAATAACGGCTCAGTCAGATAACTGAGAGAATGATCAGAACCTGTGATTAACCTTTCTATTATCCCCATGTCGTTTTTATACCTTAAGGAAATCCTGCAAGATAAACAAATGTGTACTAAAACTCTTTTATCTTCACCTGACCTGACGTAGCCTTCTGGAAAGAGCAAAGAGTCAGTGTAATACGCTCGTGATCCCAGCTTCAACTCCTTAGGCTGTTTGCTAGTTGGTATAATGCACGAGCACTTCCTAGGGTTGGGTTAATAGGAAATGTAGCTGCAGGATTCTTGCCTTTCAGTTTGTTTCTTCATGGGTCAATGCACTTATTGTAAATCACTTAGGATAAAAGCATCAGCTAAATGAAATGTCATGTATTTGAATATGCAGCAATATTTCATTTCTTATTTTGAGGAAGTTGTAATATGCAAATTAAGTTTAAAAACCTGCCATCCACATCCAATACAAAAATACATTGTGAGCCTCTCCGCTCACACAGGGTTCAAATCAGGACGGAAAGAGCAGGTTGGTGAAACACAGGCGTTTATTAACTCCAAACAATAACATGCGCGGGTCTCAAACGTTGCCCGGGTGGGAAACTTCACAGGTCCTTTGGCGACCTTCCAGGATCCCGCCTACTGCATAACAGAACAGAACCAGGTTACGACATGCTTTTCTTCCTGCACTGATTACCTGATTCCGATCAGCTGTCTGGCCTCCGGCCGAGCCACTCCCTTCACTCCAGCAGCCAGCGCCCAAACCACACCCCGCTGCCACAGTGGTATTTTTTCAATTTACACAAATAAACAAATAGTGTATTTTCATTAATAACCACCAAAATACGTTATTTGAACACTCCTCTCGATTGATTTACAACAACAAAAATAGTAGGGCCCGCCCTAATACACCAATGCAGTTTTTGAAGATATACATTTTTCAACACAGAATCATTTAACAAATTACACCATATCCAGTCATTTTAGAAGTCAGAAAATGCTATCTGTTCATTGCAGTTATTGTTTATTGAATTAGATTACCATGACCTCAACATAATTATGTAGAGTACAAGTCCACAGCCAAGAACATTTTATTTGCATATCATTTCATTTATGAATATGGAATTATTTATTTAATATTATTATCGCAGCTCAACGAGGCTCCCTCCTGTCAGATGGAGGGAGTAAATACAGCGGCAAGCTTTGGGACCTGTCCCAACATATCCTATGAAGAGAGAAAGAAAATATTGTTATTATATATTAATATTGATTTTTGCACCATCAAAATCTCTTACCAGGTTTTATCTAACAAATAAACAAATGTCAATTTAGAATAATCTTACCCTGAAAACTGTGAACCACAGAATCTGCTGGTTTCAACTAATTTCCTGTGTTAAACCGGGAATGCCGTGCCAGATAAAGGCCAACTGCCTCATCCTTGGCGATCTCCTGGCAGGAAGTGGAAAGGGGGGCAGGGGCAGTGGAGGACAAGACTGCACTGCTCTCTCGT